CCCCCGCCCCCGCCCCGGGAGCCCCGCGGCTTGTTTCCCCTCCGCCGGCGGGCCGGCTTCTGGGCTGCGGCAGGCGGGGAGCGCCTGGGGGGAGCTAAGCGGTTTGACCTGGGCCGCGGAGAGGCCTCTGGCGTAGCCGAGAGCCTGTCTGTGACACCCGGTGTCCGAGGTCAATGCTTTCTTCCTAGACCTCCCCTCTTTCTTGCTCTCACACAGTGTAATGCTGTTGTGCGGAGTGAGCTGACTAGATACCTGTATGCGCACTCCCATCTCTACAGGGCTGTGGCACTTAGCAACAGCTTTTGAAAGTGCTCAGAGCACAAGAAGTTTCTTCATGTACCACGGAAGCTGTCATGGAGGAATGTGCTGAGCCCTGCCCTGCAACAACCCCACCTTGCAAACACCAACGATTAGCTGAGATTAGTGTCTCTGTGCCTTCTGTAATCGGTTTAAAATAAGCACTTAGGAGAACAGCCTGGCTATAGGTTGTTGGGGAGCTGCGAAAAGGAGAGCGTCAGAGCGATGCAAAGGGAAGGGGCAGTACAGAGACTTTAAACTGATGCTGGGGTGTGGAGACTGTAGGACGGTTTGTTTCTTAACCATTGTGTCATGGCTGAGAGGCCTTTTTCAATTCTTAGGGTGGCTGCTTGTCACCTGGGTGACCTTGGACAAGTCTTTTCTGTTCTGCCCAAGTTTCGCCTTTAGCTAAGGGGGGGGGTCAGGCTATCAGCTCCCTTTTGTGCTGTGCTGGAAGTCCAGTATCGGCAGGGACTGTTCAAAGAGGTATGGTTGGGTGCCCAGTGGCAGGAGGAGGATTGGAAAAGTCAGTAGGAGGGACTTCTGATTGACAGTATTTGGGCGGTGCAAGCAAGAGAAGGCCTCAGTAGAGTGATACCAGGGATGATTGTCATGGCAGCTTTGAGGGTCAATTAGCTGATATAACAACCACGGTCTTTTACAATGAACTCTAAAACTACAAGTATTCCAAGTTAACATAGGTGAGGAATTTTTGCCTCTGTCAGCATTGTTTGCATTGTCCATCGTGATTTGAGAACATGTGCTTTTACTTCTCACTGTTTAGCTGTGTGCTCTCCATTTCCCAGTGGTGGGGAGTGCTCGGACCTGCTGGGTTTTGCTTTGCAGCCACTGTTACCTTTTAAGGACACTGTGCAGGGAACCGTGGCTGGGGGAGGCTGCGGGGAAATGCTGCTTCTGTCCTGCGGCTCCCTTTGGGGCTGAGATTTGTTAATACGTTAGATCTGTGATCGGATATCTGTAGAAGGAGGTGGAAGACGAATTACCATGATTAATTAATTAGAGGTCCTGAGAAAAGCATGAGCTTTCTCAGAAGTCTTAGATGCTATTTTGGGAGGTGACAGCAGGTGGCAACCTCTCCCTAAAAATTCTCCTGTGGAAGAGTTGTGATTTTTTTCTCAGGCAGCCACAAGAGGTTGCTAAAGAAGGACTTTTTACTGCTTTAAGGATCGTGAGTCCTGTCCTGGATATAGACATGCACAGTGTATACAAGGCTCACTTCTCTAGGAGCAGGACTCAAATGAGGCTTCCCCCC